ATAAAGTTTGACAGACTGGTCAAAATGTACCAGAACAAGCTGATTAAATGATTTACTGTCAAAGACAAAAACTTTATTAATGCATTTTTGCAAATGTGAAACATTTTTAAACATTTTTATTTTAAACTTGATTTCAAGACACTCCGGAGCACTCTCTCCTTAAATTAGTTAGAAAGCTTTTATTATTTATGGCACAGTAAAAAGTCCACCGTGTTTCAGCTCACGTGGCTTCTTCAGGGAGTCTCACAGCGAGAAGGTCAAAGGTTGACCTCTCGGCCTGTCTGGGTGGAGTTTGCATGTTCTCTCCGTGTGGGTTTTCTCCGAGTGCTCCAGTTTCCTCCCACAGACCAAAAACATGCATGTCAGGTTGATTGGTGACTCTAAATTGTACCCAAGTGTGAGTGAGAGAGTGAATGGTTGTTTGTGTGTCCCTGTGATGGACTGGAGACCCGTGGTGTCCCCCGCCTCTTGCACAGTGACTGCTGGACACCGGTGACCCCTGCAACCCAGAAAGATGTCCCGGGTGGTCAAACAAGGTAGTAAAATCATTGGTCATCAATAAATGCAGCCTACAGACCTGCACAGTCAGGCTCTAGAAAAAAAAATGCAATCCAGGTTTACAATGAGCTCGTCCACTGAGACCAGCAGGTTGGCAGAAAGACTGCTGGTTCCTCTGGGAAGAAAAATGGGTACAACAAAATAATTAGTTCCCTCTGCTGTGAGTGTCCTTAATGAGGTCCTATTTAAACATATCCTCACACGATAAACCATTGTCTGCTGGGATGCTTATGTTTTTAATGTATTGTGTATTTTAGAATTTATTTCATTGGGTTAGCAAAGCTTTTTAAAGTTTGATGGCATTTTTAACTTGTGTTGTTTTGTTTGAGCCAGATGTCAAAGACAAATCTCCATCTCATGAAATGTTATGGACTAAGTTATGCTGACTGATTGAAGAAGCAGGTAAAATACAATGGATGGATGTCACTGTTGCAGACCATAATGGTCTTGGAGGTAGAGTTCTTACAGGTGTGAGTCCTACTGGTGGATTATTTATTTAAATATAATTTGATGTTAAAGCAAATTGCTGGGGAGTTTTGGTTCAGAAGACTGTTCCATAAATAAAGGTTTGTGTTTAAACAGGGAGTACCTTTCCTTGGAGTGTCTTAAATAAAAGTTCAATCTTATCTCAGCCTAAAAAACACTTCAGCCGGACCCACACTGAGTCCAGGAAGTGCTCCTACATATACATGTAATTTGTAGAATAATACTTTTGTACGGTTGTCTAACAAATGTTCTCGTCTGTGTGAGTTACATTTGTTGGTTAAATTCAGACACATTTCACTTGTTTCAATTATTTTGCTGCTTGATGTTTAGATTAAAATTGTTTAAATTATTTATGTCTCTTGCTGCTCTCAGTGTCTCATAATAATAGAAGGAAAAACAGAATTTTGAACTTCATTAACAAATATAAATTAAAAAAAGAAGAAAAATCACGTAAATATTCAGAGCCTTCAGTTGAAGCATCTTTAGCAGCATTTAAAGCTTTGCTCACCTGGAATCCTGTCAGCGTCTCAGGGCTCTCCAGCGATGTGTGACTGGGTTCACATCAGGGCTCTAGCTGGTCCCCTCTACGACATTTATAGAGTTGTCCCTCTGTCACGTCTTCTCTTTGTTTTGGATTCTTGTCATGTTGGAAGGTGAACCTCAGGTCCAGTGGTCCTGAGCTCTGTGGAACAGGCTTTAACAATTTTCTTTCCTTCATTGACCCTGACCAGTCTCCCAGTACCTGCAGCTGAAACAACGCCCCCCACATCATGACGCAGCCACTACCGTGCGTCATTGTTGGGATGGTGGTGGGCAGCTGATGATCAGCACCTGGTTTCCATAGCAACATGATACCAGACACTTCAGTCCTCATTTTCTCAGCGTAGTAGAGAATCTTGTTCCTCAGAGTCCTTCAAGTGTGTAAAATAATTCAGCACATGCACAGAAACATGTCAGCAGTGACCAAAGGAAATGGGATGCATGTGAACTAAAGTTCACATTTTCCTGGACAAATCTTTTAACATTAAAACAATTTTTGTGTTAAAATATTTATGCAACTTTGTCGTTCTATTGTGTTTTTGTCATTATGGGTAGATTAATGAGAAAATAAAGAATTTAAATGATTGTGTCATCAGGCTGCAACAGAACAAAACTGTTACAAAGGGGCTCTGAATACTTCCTGAAGCACTTATTTAACAAAAGCAAATTAAAATGTTTTTGTATGCGTCTCCTGTTCTCAGCAATTTAACGTTCTCGTTTATGGTTCGATCATTATCATGATCTGTTGTTAGTTTGAATCCAAGTGCAGGCAAGACTCGGAGGATTCAGTAATAAAAGAAAAGATATTTATTAAACACAACAAAAAAGGTCAATGTGGGTGGCAGCAACACTTACCGATACGTACGGGGAGATTAGAATCAGAATAAACTTTATTGGCATTGCACCGAGATACAACGCGAACATGTACATACAGTTGTTCGAAAGATGGGCAGAGTGCACGAAGCTGCAACTATAAAAAAAGTGCAGCCTTCTTATTCAGAATAATATTTTGCTTAGATGAGAAAAGGGAAGAAAACATGAGATATGGTATTAAAAAAAAAAAGATCTCACACCGTGTCCTAGTCAGGGCACGATTTGAGGAATAAAAAAAAACCTACCACAGCAAAGCAACCTAAATAGACGTTATACATTTACATGCGGTGAAGACATTGAATTTTTAAGGGAAAGTCGAAGCATAGTCCAGAGCCCCCCCCCCAGCCATTGTCCAGATGAGGTGACGTTCATCTTCAGCTCAGTCGAGGTTCCTGCCCACGGCCTTGGGGAAGGGAGGGGTGAGGAAACAGTTAAAGCATCTTTGTTGTTTTCAAAATATTCCAGGAGAATCCAGATGATCACAGGAAGAGAACATGAAGGATGATCCTCAGACAACCGTAGATTATAAGGACACACTAACGAGGGGATAAACAAACACCTGGGGAAGGACAACAGGTGGCAGATGTGATGGGGGAGATGCACAGAGGAGAGCAGCGACGAGACAAGAGGGAGACACGAGGTAACACAATCCTCACATTGAGTGGGTTTTATTAACCAATTAAATCACCACACAGCACATTACCTGTGAATAACAAATAAAATGTCGTCTTGGGAGTTGTGCTGGTGGCTGCAGGAGTTTCATGGTGAGGGGCTCAGATGGAGAGGAACACAGGAACCTCAACTCAGATACTGGAAAGTAAAAACGGATCTCTCACACAAATCCTGACATTTAGGCTCACTGACCAGTCATGCATGTAAAATATTGATGAAGGAGAACCATCCAGACGGAGGTGTTTTGATTTAGAAATGGTTTTGTTGTGCACCCGGTTTGATGACCTCTGACCTTCAGGTTCACAGAAATCTGTTTGAGTTTTGATCCTGTTGCTCCTTATTTCAGCTCGAGGTGTCTCAGAGACCACGCTGCCAAGAAACACCAAACAGAAGCAACAAGCAACAACATGGTTTTTTTGTTGTTGCTGGATTTTAGATGAAACGTGATGAATTATTCTAAATGTATTCTTTAGTTCCAGTACAAACTACTGTAATAAAAATATATATTTAACATTAATTTAACTCATATTTGAGTAGAACTTTAACAATGCATCAACTCTTCCTGAGGGGGGAAGTTTTATTAGTTTTTAAAGTTTTGTTTTTTCAATGACTGAGCACAACATACTGAGCTGCAATTCTACTGAAAACCACCAGGTGGCAGTACATCCCCTACAAAACAGTCCAGCTCTTAAACCGTCACATTAAAAAACACACAATGTAGACAGAATGATCAAAGACTATTTATTGTTGCATATTTATCTAATCATTTTGAAAGCAACTCTTCCAAACAAACCCAGTTTCTCTTCATAGCAGCAGATGCAGTAAAAACACAGATTTCCATCAAACCTCACATCCCATCAAAAGGTTTACTGCGAGGTCTTCACTAATGTGTCTTTCAGCGAGGCTAGCTGCATATGGAGAGGAGCGAGGATTCATTCCCTCTCATTAGAACTCCCATCAGTCCCAACACTGAGCATTATTTAACAAAAATATTCATTATACAAGAATAGAAGACAAACAGAGGGATGTTCGTACAAACCCTAATGAACCTACTGTGAGCGAATCGTGAAATTGACAAATACGTTCTCTGAACGTGTGGTTTCAGGGTTTAAAATGGATAATTTGGTCAAATCTTCTCCAATAAAATACATTTCAAACAGAACTGTAATTTAACAAAAATATATCAAGGCCAAGCTGCGGACAAATTGGTAAATAACTAAAGGTCAGTTCATAGAAACAATCAAAGCTAAAACTTCTGTCACTTCACTGATATTAACCCTTTTTTTGTGCAATCTGGAGGAACTGACCTTTTGGAGTCTTTCTGTAAAAAAAACACAAAACTTAAAAAAAATAAAAGAAATGAGGACTTTTGTTATATTCGGTCCAACTTCTCACTCAGAAACTCCTCGACGCTGTCGGTGTTCCACTTAAGGATGCTGAGCTCCTCAGCGATGTTCCCGTTATCGTCCAAAAGCTTTAGAACAGGATCTGAGCCTCGAACGTACTGCAGCGTGACGAGAGGTGAACAGGAAACAGAAGAACGAGTGTTAGTGTTGCAAACTCTTTGTGACGGTGCTGGTTCTACACAACAGACTTCACTCTGCAAGGAACACCATTCCTCATCTCTACCTTGATCTGAAGACCCTTGAACATTTTCGGCTTCTCGCTCCTGACAAAAGCTGAGGGGGAAACACAGAGAGGTGTCAGGTAAAGGATCAGTGGAGAAACAGCTGAGGGAAACAAGCACAGATGGAGCTCCAGACTCCTGAGTCCCACGTCAGACAGAACTGCAGGATTGTTACCAGTGTGACACTGAATGTTTGACATGGCAGTCACTCATATTTCAAAAAATAAACCACAACTTCAAACAAGGTAGTCTTTGTTTTTTTTTTTTAAGTTTCTTGCCAGTTGTGTATTTCCTAACTAATAGCACTAATAAAATATCCAGAGGCACGCTCAATAATCCAGGTAGAAAAATCTAAAACGTTAAGTCAGGTCCTCTGGACGAATTCTAATTTGTTTAAATGTTTTTTTATCTTTTATCCAAAATACTGTGGTCTACGTGTACACTCATCTCCAGGCCAGCAATCACTCCTTTAGGGATGAAGATGTCCACATTCTTGATATAGAGGAGTGAAGGAAGCCATCTTTGTGAAGAGAACCCGTCCATCATTAAACAGGGGCGGAGGCCTCAATGTCCACATGTCACCTTATTACAATGCAGTTATTGCTAGTATCACTCAGCCCCTGTGAATAGTAAACAGCCATCAGAGTGCTAATGATCAGTTGTTAGGCTGATGGTCCTCTTTTTACATGTGAACAGCTGGTGTTGGCTGTCAGCAGCAAACTGATCCACTATGTGAAGGTGCTACATGTGCTGGTCATAAAATTAGAATATCATGAAAATGTTGATTTATTTCAGTAATTCCATTCAAAAAGTGAAACTTGTGTATTATATTAATTTATTACACACAGACCGATATATTTCAAATGTTTATTTCTTTTAATGTTGATTATTATAACTGACACCTAATGAAAACCCCAAATTCAGTATCTCAGAGAATTATTGAGACCAATTAAATAAAGGATTTTTAGAAATGTTGGCCAAATGAAAAGTATGAACATGAAAAGTATGAGCATGTACAGCACTCAGTACTTATTGTTGCTCCTTTTGTCTGGATTACTGCAGCAATGCAGCGTGGCATGGAGTGGATCAGTCTGTGTCACTGCTCAGGTGTTATGAGAGCCCAGGTTGCTCTGATAGTGGCCTTCAGCTCTTCTGAATTGTTGGGTCTGGTGTATCTCATCTTCCTCTTCACAATACCCCATAGATTTTCTATGAGGTTAAGATCAGACGAGTTTGCTGTGTAGTGAACTAAGTCAGTTAGGAACAGGGATACCATGGTCCTCAAACCAGGTACTGGTAGCTTTGGCACTGTGTGCAGGTGCCAAGTCCTGTTGGAAAATTAAATCTGCATCTCCATAAAGTTGGTCAGCAGCAGGAAGCAGGAAGTGTCTAAAACTTCCTGGTAGACGGCTGTGTTGACCTTGGACCTCAGAAAACACAGTGGACCAACATCAGCAGATGACATGGCACCCCAAACCATCACTGACAGTGGAAACTTGACACTGGACCTCAAGCAACGTGGATTCTGTGTCTCCTCTCTTCCTCCAGACTCTGGGACCTTGATTTCCAAAGGAAATGTGAAATTTACTTCAATCAGAGAACATAACTTTGGACCACTCAGCAGCAGTCCCAGGCGAGATGCTTCTAACGCTGTCTCTTGTTCAAGAGTGGTTTGACACAAGGAATGCAACAGCTGAAACCCATGTCTTGCATACATCTGTGCGTGGTGGTTCTTGAAGCACTGACTTCAGCTGCAGTCCACTCTTTGTTAATCTCCCCCACATTTTGGAATCTGTTTTGTTTCACCAACCTCTCCAGGATGCAGTTATCCCTATTGCTTGTACAATTTTTTCTATCACATTGTTTCCTTCCCTTCACCTCTCTTTTAATGTCCTTGGACACAGAGCTCTGTGAACAGCCAGCCTCTTTAGCAATGACCTTTGTGTCTTGCCCTCCCTGTGCAAGGTGTCAATGGTCATCTTTTGGACAACTGTCAAGTCAGCAGTCTTCCCCATGATTGTGTAGCAGAACTAGACTGAGACCATTTAAAGGCCTTTGCAAGTGTTTTGAGTTAATTAGCTGATTAGACTGTGGCACCAGGTGTCTTCAATATTGATCCTTTTCACAATATTCTAATTTTCTGAGATACTGAATTTGGGGTTTTCATTAGTTGTCAGTTATTATCATCAACATTAAAAGAAATATACATTTGAAATATATCAGTCTGTGTGTAATGAACGAATATACAAATTTCACTTTTTAAACTGAATTACTGAAATAAATCAACTTTTTCATGATATTCTAATTTTATGATCAGCATCTGTATTTATAAGACTGAGTTTGTTGCAGCTCCTCTGACTGAAGAAGTCTTTTGGATAAAAGACGAATATTTCAACAAAGAAGAATCCCTCCAGAGGACCTGACTGAACTCTTTTAAACACTAATAAAAATACAGCTGGGTCATGAAGTTAGGATTTCCCCTGAAGGTTTCCACAAAAACACAAAGTGCTCTTTGCACATGATGTGTGTTTGATTGTGAGGCTCCTAAAGACCAGCTGGTGTTAGAAAACACTATGGCAGACGAGGGAATTTTTAAATATTTTTCATAGTCTAGATTGAGTTTTCCCCTGAGGAATATCTCAGATTAAGAAAAAGTCAGTGAAGATCAGAGCAAGGGTTAGAGGAGGTTCAACCTGACCGAGTCCTCCTTTGACTCAGATGATCCCAAAGCCACGACTGATGCAGCTGTGGACAGTGAAGTAAGGCAAATGGTAACGAGGACACAGATGGTCTATAAAAATTAAACTGGTACAGAAATGTTTATATTTCTTTTTCCAGAGGTGAACCAGGTGTACTGCATGTGTGCAGGAGAGGTAGGGCTAACTAACGACAGAGCTTTTAGCTCTGCCTGGTAGTGGTGGCAGATGATGCGTTGGTTCTGCAGGTCCCGGCCCAAGATATGATTGGTGTTTGAAAACCATCTCTCAGCTCCAGTTTTTTTTTAAATTTTATATAAATCAGCCAGACTGTGTGGTTTTATAACAACTTGGCTCAAAAATATTGCTGCGAATGTTTGAAGAAATCTGGCTGTTCCAGTTTGATCTGTCCTCAAACTGCTTCCACGTGTTTCTTGTCACCAAATTACCCAGAAATCCATGCTGAGTTCTCACATACAGCTACGATGTGTTGCCGCAGCGTACAGAATACAAGAAAACACCACTGCAGGACAATTTTACTTCAAAACACGTAAATACAGCAAGAAAAAAAAACATAGATGGAGATTTATAACAAAAATGCTAAACCAACAGAAACACCGACCATGGTGGCGTTTAGATTACAAATTATATCTAAGGTTGTATTTTACAGGTATGTCTAGCTAGTAACTTTAAAATCCCATCAAAATGGAGGACTCACCTTGGACTTGAGGGAACCTCCCAAGTTTTCATCCACACACCTCGAGGATGGCTCCAGCGTAGAGCTGCAGAGAGAAAGATGTGAAGTCATGCATGAGGCAACACATGCACTGAACGGACCCAAGCTCTGCTAGTGGTACCATGTCTAGCCCGGAGCAGCGATTTGATTCATAAGTGTGTCCTGGTGACTTCTCGGGGGTCATTAAACTGTGAGCTGGTGCATACGGAGCAGCGCTGATGGATGGTAGTTTGTGCAGGGCCCGCCTGTAATCAGACCTGCAGCACTAACGCAGTAGGTTAGAGGGAAGTGCAGTGAAACGGACGTATTTCAGGGCCGGGCTCCGCCTCGGGGAGAAGAGGACCGGACAGCCCGGTCGGCTGCTTTACACTCCAAACTGAACCGAGTGTGCAGAGCGTACATCCTTTGTGACTTCTGGTTGTCCACGGCCGAGCTCTGCTGAAAGCTTCTCAGGAGGTTTCAATTTCATCACTCATGTTTTATTTAAATAAATACTGCTTTGGTTTAGGTCAAGTGCTTTTTTTTACATGTATGGTAAGTAAAATTACAACACAAAGCATGTTAACTGACCAACATTACCTACATTTTCAGAGCTCGTCAGTCAACAACAAAGAAACTACACATGTTCCTTTGTTTAGTTTGTTCTGGGCCGAGATGGTGTAGAGGCAGGGCAGCCGGCTTGGGACCCGAGAGTCCCAGGTTCGATCCCCAGTCACTGCACATCACGTGGCGTCTCTGGGCAGCACGTCTAATCCCCAAAATGTCCCCCGGGCGCTTTCAATAGCTGCCCACTGCACCACCTGGTGGTGGATGGGTTAAATGCAGAGACTAATTTCGCCATTGTATGGAAAACATACAGTGCTGACATTGTGATGACATTATTATTTTTATAGTTTCTGGACGTCAGCCTCAGAATTACAGGAATAAATGAATGGACTCTGTTTCTGTTATGTTCCTCTTTTATAAATACTCATGGCTCATTTGAACAACTTGTAAAAGTTTAATTTTTTGAAAATGCCAAAGGTAACCAAGACTGGAAACGCTCATGCTTTTCCATACTCAATTTTCTTTCCCCTGAAAAATAGTCAAATCAAATGTCATACTTTCAGAGAGCAGAGGAAACGATTTATTTTTAACATTCTGTTGTCCTTTTCATTCAGAGGAGATGCGCAGCAATATTAGCTTCAACAATCTGTTAAAAATACAGCTTCATCTTGGCAAAGAGCGGATTACTGTAAACGAGGCCCAGATTCTTTGATCCATCTCCAGTTCTCCTTCGTCATCGCTCCTAAACATGAGATGATAGATCTTGGATACCTGAACTCTTCTTGTGGCAGAAACTCCCCCTCAAACCAGAAGGAGCGTTCCACATTCTCCTGGTTAAGAACAGTGAACTTAAGAGGAGCTGACTCTTATCTTTGATTTTCAAATAAATCAAACAAAAAGAACTTCTTAATTTGAATAAAGTATTAAAATCCTTTTGTCTCCTCCAACTTTTTGTTCCATTCTCTTTACCCCTGTAATCCAGCTCTGAGCTGCAGGTAGCTAGTGCCCATCTTCAACATAAGGCCACATAAAAACAAAGACTACCTTCAGGAACACAATCATACGGACCAGGTCAGCACCAGCTAATTGAACCAGAGTGTTTTTGTATTATGGAAGGAAACATTACCTGGAAAGAACTCCCATGCCTAACCAAGACTCGAACAACGACCTACTTCAGGTCATTGTTCATACAGGAGGGTTCTACATCACGTAGAGTCTCAGACATCCACGTCATGGCAAATCCAAAAAAGTTTTAAAATCAAATAAACTGGACTTTATTTTGTAACACGTTTTTTTTTCCAGTTCAGAACTGGAGTGTGTGGTGCGCCAAGCTTTAAATTACATACAACGCTTTTTAAAGAAAAAGGAGGAAGTTTCAGATTTCAGCTTTCAAAAGGTTCTTTTACAAAACGCCTCAAGCCAGGACTAATTTCTTTCTACAAACTTCTGGCTGCTTTGGTGCGACTTCTGAATAGATCGAGGCAGCAAGCGGGGTCAAAGCTAACCCACCTCTGATGCACGGTCAGCATGCAAAATGATAAGCTCTCTTTGTGGCTCAATAATGTCATGAAGTGATGACATAAAGTTTGTGTGCTTGTCAAGTCGCAGGATTAAACAACAAACAAATTTATTACCAAGGGAAGGTCAATGATGAACCACAACTTTGCATTTAGTTAAAGTTTAAGTTCAATGACTTTATTGTCATCCAAAATTGTACAGCTCACAGTGCATATCTTTGCATCAGTAACACAGAGTACATAACATATTTTTCGCTGTGTAAGTCGCAGTTTTTTGCATAAATTAGCATGTCTGCGACTTATACAGCGAAGCGACATATTTATGTTTTTCCCCATATTTATAATCCCATTTTTGGTTGAGATCTGATGATTTCGTTCATTCTGACGTGAAAATATTAAACACTACCATTTTCAGCAACTAGAGAGCAGTCGACTAATATGGAAGCCAAGTGTCTTATTAATAGGTAAAAGTGGTTATTAATGAGACACTTGGCTTGCCATACCGAGCCACCTTCGTCTCGCTCCGGAACACCTGGAGCAAACGTCAAATCAGCTGAATTTCACCACGCAGGCGAAACGCAGCTGATTTGACCATTAAAGTGCATTTATTAAGGAAAAGTTCAACTGAGACACACCTTTATTATAATGTTGAGCAAACAAATAATTGTTTTTAGGTGTTTATCTTGTTAAATTTTGAAGAAACGCACAGCGAGTCGTCCATCTGCACGCTCCCGCTTCTGTGAATCGGCTTTTGAAATGCAGCTGATCTGACCGTCAAAGTCCTTTTATTAAGAAAAAGTTAGACTGAGACACACCTTTACTATAATTTTGAACAAACAAATAATTATTTTTAGTGTTAATCTTGTTACACTCTTGTTAAAAGTCCTCCTGCGACCGCCATTTGGCAGCCATTTGATTTTTGGCACAAAACGGGCCCACATTTTTGGGTGGTCAGCGAAGCGTAACAAATGCGACGAGTCAGAAGTGACGCATAACAGATGCGACTTACATGGTGAAGTGACATATTTATGTTTTTTCCACTTTATTAGACATTTTTGGACTGATGCGACTTATATGGCGGTGCGACGTGTATGGTGGAAAATACAGTCTATTTAAAACATTATGGAATAAGGTCATTTAGAGCAAAAGAGCAAAAACGGTACAATTCTGGTGCAGAAAATAAATTAAATACATAAATACATTTAAAATATATACCACAAAATTAATTGCTAAACAACCAATTCAAGTTTTGAAAGTGATACTTTGCAGATGCCTGCCACAGATTTATAGTGTTGTGCTCAAAGTCAATACAGCCGAGTTCTGCTCCACTCCTCTTTGTTTCTGCAGCGCTCACTTCATTTCTGAATTTGACGTAGGTGCAGAACATGGTCGGCTCCATGTGTGATTTACAAACAGCCAGAGGCAGCATAAAGATGGACTGGTCTTCGCACCCATTTCACATAATTTTCCCTCCAATGCACACATTCATGCAGGCGACCAAAACATCTCCTTGTTATCCAGGAAACAAAGAGGCCCATGACCAGGAGGGGGATTTATCTGTATGTGAATTTAGTTGCATAAACAGAGTCTCTGGAACTCCACACTTGAGGAGATAAACTTCCCAGATGGGAAGCAAAACATCTTTAACTACAAATGAGAAGTCCATTTGTATCAACTTTTTTAAATTTACATCCCACATCGAGCTACACGAGTTAAGTGATTGTTTCATAAAATCTGATAAGAACAAAGAACATCATAGACCTTATTTGTAACCCTTAGAATGGAGGTTTCACAGGTACCTTTTTAAAAGCACCCGTTCACCAAACGTACTTGAAAAGGTCCAGCTGTTCTGCACAGATGTTAACACACTCATGGAGTAGAGCTGCAGCAGAGTGCAGAAGCTCTGCGGAGACGAACACCTCTGAAAACGAGGAACTGAAACGCCCTACATGCTCAGTGAATCTTACTAATCAGCGAGGCCGTGCAGCAAGCCATTTCTCTGAAGGTTTAATGAGTTGGCACTGATGCCCAATTGGGGAACTAAAAGCAATTCTTAAGGGAGATAATTGTTGCCGTCTGAGGAGAAAATGTGCTTAGTCATACATTGTTTCTACAGCTACCCTTGGAGTATGGTGGGAGATGAGCAATTGCACTTACAGGTGACATTTTTTACTCAGATTATGAAGGAGGAGGAGGAGAGGCAATTTTGGCTGCAAGCAACTTTCTTTGGGGCGGCTGTGGCTGAGTGGTTAGAGCAGTCGTCCTCCATTGCAAGAGTTGGGGGTTCAATTCCACCAGCAGTCACACGTTAAAGTGTCCCTGGGCAAGACATTGAACCCCTCATTGCCTCCAATGCGTGTCCCATCGGTGTATGAATGTGTTGAACCTGTATGCATCACACCGCGTTAGTCATTTTGCTATCTGCTATTATTTTGTTTCTATATTTTGATTTGACGTTATGTTATATGTTGCTGTGTGCTTTGCCTGTTTGTACAGCTCTTTGGTTGAACCTGTCGCCGTTTCAAGTGCTTTATAAATAAAATGGTATGGTATAAAAGCACCGATTAGTCTTTGTAAAGATGAACGGGTAAATGAGGACATAGATTGTGTTGTCAAGAGCTGAGTGTCTTGATAAGATAGAAAGGTGCTGTACAAGTACAGTTCATTTACCATTCTGAAATGGTTATCATCAAAAGGTGTAATCAGGTGTGCCCTACACTTCTGATATGGTGCTGTTGCTAGAATACCACACACACGCACGTGCATGCACTCTCTAGGGGATTTACTTAAATCAAAGGAGAAAAAAAACACAAACATTGTTTTCCCATCATCCCTTGACTGTGTTCATCATCAGAGCACAGCAGGGGCTGCTTCTGGTTTCGCTGTACTCCCAGCAGCACTGTGAACACAACAGCACCTCATCACTGCATACACAGGCTGCGACTGCAAAACTTGACAACTTGATCTCTGCGGGGGGTGTTAATTTGAGGTTAGAGGGGCTGACGATGAACGTTAAAAATAAGGAGACGGACACAGAGGGCACACAACTGATGCACAACTGCAACGTGTCAACAAACCAACTGGGGTGGGGTCAAAGATTCAGCTGCTTCTAGTGTTAGTTCAACTGCTGAGGAATGTGTCCCGTCATTTAACAGAACTTTTTGTGACAGAGGTGTCCTAAAAGTGGAAGGACTACCTGCTGATGTGCCCGCCTTTTTAAAGTTAAAGGTCAAGCACTTCTTGAAGTTATGCACATCGCTGGTTGCCTTTCAGGCCAGAGTTTCAGAAGACCTTCTTAAGTTGAGAAATGACAGAGCTGTAACCATTTTGGCCAAACACAGAAACTAACGTGCATGATCTCATGCGACATCGCGTGAAAAACTTTTAGCTACTCACACTCAACTCATTATCTGTAAATAATTGCATTACCCGTACAGCTTTTTGTGTTACCTAATGCTGATTGGCTGTGGTCTGCCACCTTGAATCAGATGCCTTCAAATGTTACAGTAGTCCCTCGCCACTTCGCGTTGGACTTTTGCGGATTTGTTCTTTCGTGGTTTTTCAATGATTGTCAACTTTAGTATTAATTACGTGATTGGGATGGTACGAGATAAAAAAGTTAACGAAAAAATACTTCGGACAGGCGCCGCCATTTTGTAGTTTTCTTTCAATAAGCCTACACTATAAGGCCAGTCAAAAGAACTACACTACCCAGAAACCTACAGTGCTTCCGGTTGCTGCTTTCTGCCAAAATGGAGTAAAAGTTTAGCAACAAAAATCTAGCAACACAAATCTATGCTATCTATTAAACACACAGAACTGGCAGGTAAATCACAAATAATCCTGAAGCTAAATAATTCACGTGCACATCAGCCTGGTGTGAGGGTAGGTCTGCAGAACCGGAACAGAGCCGGACCAGAACTGAGCTGCTGTTCTGCAGAGCTGGTGAGTAAAACTTTGCAGTACATATACGCATGTTGTTAAAATGATGTTGGTTTTAGAGTTTAGAACATCGCAACAGTGTGTGAAAAGTTTATAAAGCCTTAATATATATATATGAATACTAAAATAAATATAGCATTCCTACTTGGCAGTTTTTCACCTAACGCGATGGTGTCTGGAACGTAACTCCTTCAATAATCGAGGGACTACTCTGTATTTAGTTTAGGTACATTTATTTTTTATTTATTTACTACAATTCATCAAGTGGTCCATGAAATACTTTAATAAACAGAGTTGACTCCACAGTGTTTCTCGGCAGGGCACTCACCACATACATGATTTTTTGTCGAGTGGGGTGGGGGTGGAGACAAACGGAGACATGTCTTGAGCTGTGCGGCGCGCTCATACCAACAGTTTTAGAGCGGGGGTGCGGTGTTCAGCATGAGGGAAGAGGCTGCCTTTAGCTTTTTAGCTAGCACACCTGTACTGCGAGCTGCTAGCTTAACGTTACATCATTGCTGGCAGGTGGGAGGGAGGGGGTGAGCACGGTTCGGTAGACGGGGTGCTCGTTCTGTTGACAGGGCGGGTGCCCCGCTTGTATAATGGTAGGGGAAACACTGCTCCAACAGTTTATGCAAATGTTTGAAGTAATAATGGTTAGCATTATGAATGTGTGTGGGGGCTCAGTCTCAGCTACTACCACCCCAAACTGTAGGTCAATATCTGTAAAACTGACTGAGCTACAGCCATTCCTGTGTCAGTCAGTCAGCTGGCTGTGGCAGCCATCTTGAATCAAGCTGTAGATGAATATCTAAATATTGTAATCATTAGATATTCATCTACAGCTTAATTTACAGGATGTATCCTGCAAATGTCAATAAAGTTTGTTCAATGGTTCAGGAGATATTTTGTTAACAGACGGACAAATACACACACTGATAAAAACATTCTCCTTCACCTTTCAGTGGCAGATATAAAAAATCAAAAAAATCAAACATTTAGTGTACAATCTGTTCACTGTGCATTAATTTAAGTCTTAGTCACACAGCACTTTGATAACAGGTTCTGTTTTAAATGTGCTCTATAAATAAATAAAGTTGACTTGACACAGCACACACTAACAGGTCTAATCATAAAGCACAGATGCACAGACAGACACAGACAGACGTGCACACACTTTACCTTGCGTGCTTCCATCTGGGCTTCCTGCTGGCAGCACTGTTGGCAGTTTGGCTGCAGCTTGGTGAGGCTGAACTCTCCGAGCAGGTCACAGGAGCTGCACAGCAGGTTGCTGGAGAAGCCCAGCTCCCGGCATGCCTCAGACGACAGCTCAACCCCAAACGCTGACAGCTGGAGACAGGAAGAAGAAACGAGAGAAATGCAGTTTTAATTAGGTATATACAGCTCTAACTGTGAGAAAATTAAAAGAAAAAAACTTTAGTATGAATACAAGGACTGACATTATTTCAACACTTGCACATTGTTATGTTATTGCACAATAGAATATAATATCTGATAATATTTACGAAACCTTTATGATTTCAATTCAACCAATTGCGTTAGTAATTGGAAATTAAAAACTTACTTCGGGCATTATTTTTACTGAATATAAATATTGTTTTAATTTTAAACAACTCACAAAGTTTCATTTTTAATCTCCCCTCCCCCATCTTATGACATTTTACTTCAAATATAGTCAGACTCCAATGTGAACTTTGTGGCATGTGCTGACGATGACGTCACATGTAGCACGCTGTGTTTACAGAATATGGATGCTATGCTACATGTTAGCACATGTAACATATTGCTTATTGAGCAATAAGAACCTAAATTATTATCTGACATGCATATTTCCTCCAGTGCTTACATGTCCTCTTGCCTGCTTCTCTGGCGCAGCAATGCATTTTTAAAATGGAAGTGACAAACAGAAGGTAGAAACAACTCAAGTACCAATCCCTTCATATCGACACCAATACTACTAATAATAATGATGATGCATCTGGACTTCTGTTCTGTAGCTGAAGATGTGAGGAGTTCCATGATATAAAATGCACAAGGCCAGCCTCATTAATAATAATACTTGGAGTGATGTGCTTACCTCTACTCACAGAGGAGAAAGAAAACAATGTGACCCGTCAGCTCAGACTGAGGTCACTTTGAAAAACACTGGAGATGCATCCAGTTTAGTTCTACATATTAAAAACACCTAGGTTGGATTTGAAAATAATAATTTAAAATACATTGGATTTGTCACATTCAGACTGTCATTAAAAAAATCTAATTCCTATAGGCAAAAACAAAATACTAATTTTCTTAATAATTACAATAGGATTTGGTCTAAAATGGATCTGGAGCTGCGTGAACGCAGCCTGTCAGATGAAAAACAGATGCAGAACAGAACCAACCCTCCTCCATGTTTCACTGAAGGCACAGTGTTGTTTTCTTTGTACGTTTCAATTTTGGATTTATGAACACAGAGCTGATGGACTTGTGCCAAAAAGCTCATATTTTGTCTCATCTGTCCAAAGAATATTGTTCCAGAAGCTTTGTGGCTTGTCATTTTTGGCAAATTATAGTTTCACTTTTTTTATTTTATGTCTTCTTTTTTTTAAGATTCAAACAGCGACCAATGGGGACATTTGATACCAATGACTCGGTTACCATTTGTACTATCCATCTCTTCAACCTGTCACCTATTTTCATCTTGTGTCCTTGTCCAGGGAGGTCGCCTATAGCCCTGTGGATCTTAGATTTCAAAATATAACGAGCAGCTGTCATCACAGGAACATTCAGCTACTTAGAGATGATCTGATAGTCTTTGCCTTTAACATGTTGCTCCATTATTTTGTTTCTAAGCTCCTGAGACAACTCACTCCACAGCTTTCAGTG